TGGGTTCATCCTGGGTTCGCAATGAACCCAGGCACCTGGGTTCATCACAAACCCGCGAGCTGAGTGCGTCTGAAGGTAAAAGGAAAAAAGGACAAAAAAAAAAAGGCTGGAGGAAGTGGGGTGACGTGGAGGGTGACGTGGAGTCCACATAAACATATTTTATGCGTTGACATATCCACATCAGCTGTTCTAGTTAAGTTAACCTGCCACATCAGCCAAAAATTAACGGAAGGACCAAAAAGGGGCCGGATTTGTGAACAGTAAGGACCAAAAAGGGGATTTTTTTGGTACAAGGATTAAAAAGGGGCTTTTTCCTATAGTAGAGGGACCAAAAAGGGTATTTAACCTTTAACTTAAGAATATTTTCTTTCTCGATAAAAAAAATAAAAATAAAATTATATTACCAATGTATGATTGGTGTTAATTTATATATCTTTTAGGTGATTTGTATTTTAATTGTATATGATTTAATTAAGTTTAGAGATATATGCATCTTAATGGTAAAAGGTATTAGCAATTCACCAACGACCTATTAGTCCATGTAAAAGGAACTCGGTTCCCCTTAAATAAGGTCTCGAGTTTGAGTTTTGTGAATGGAGAAATAAGTGTTGAGAAATCTTCCCCTTAATGGGGTTTGACGCGGCTCAATTTCAGATTAATCGGAACCCAATGTGATTATCGGATACCGAGAGATCAATACAAAAAAAAAAAAAAAGTATTAGCAATTCTAATAAGAGTAATGCAAAATTTAAGGTCTGGTGAAATGTTTGTTATTATTTTAGAAAATTGCTTCCCTTTGATTAGAAGACATTTTAAAAACTATAATGAAATAATGTGTCTAGAAAATCTATGGGAGTTAAATAGTTTATAATGATAAGATTAGAAATATAAGACAATTGCTTGGTTCCAATGAAGAAACTCTTAGATACGTGTTATAAATTATATGAAAAATAGTTCTTGTAAAAGATGCACCTGCCTTTATTAAAGTTAATAAAGTCTTGTTACTATTGTGCTTTTCTATTTGATAAAAAATTTAAAGATCATATTATTTTGGATAATGGATAATGGATGATTGTTTTCATTATGATATTTTTATATTTGATGGTATTAGTTATCTAGATGGATGAGTTGTTTACAAAATTTGGTGGAAAAGACAAATCAAAGTTAATTGTTGATTTTACTTTATAAAATAAGAGTAACATTAAGTTGAGATTATGAATAATAATTAAGTCATGCATTATTGTGACTATGTTAAATAATTTATTGATAAAGAGATTATAACTTAATTAGTTATCTATGAGAATTGTTTTAGATATTCTTGATATGTGGGAGAAGTTGATTTCTCTATTAATAATAAGTTTATTTTGCTTATTATATCACTTATTATTTTATAATAATGCACATGCATTGTAATAGTGATTTTTATGAGCTTACACAAATATTGATACTGAGTTCCTAAGGTATAAAGCATAAAAGTTTCTTTAGAAGTATAGAGGCCTTTCTATAAAAATGAGGGAAATTATCTTATAGGTTTCTATAAAACCAAAATAAAGTTTAAAGGTTTCCTAAAGGAAGTGTAAAAGAGATTATATCATGATAGAGGATTTCTTTAATACCATAAAAGGAATCGTTATGATTTTGATATGTTATATATTCCAGGGGATCATATTGTGTCAAATCACATTACATTTTATCATATCTATTGGAATAAATATTGGTGGAGATATTTGATAGTTTTGATTGTGAGGGATCTTGTGTTGCTAGTGATAAAATAAGAACACAGTTTCGCATTAGTATTTTCATTGAATGGAATTTTGTGCTGCGATTTTGATTTATATCTATATCCATTAAAGTTTTGATTGATCAGAGTCATTTTTAAATTGTGTTGTTTAAAATTTAAAACAAATTAGCGTTGTCCAAGTCAGAGAATATTGAAAATTTTATGTAGATTTCCGTTAATTGTATTTTTATAAAAAAAATTGGGTCAAATAAAAAAACAATAAAACCCAATAAAATTATGTAATCTATATATACCTAATTTTTATCTTAGCTTTATATAGTGTGACATAAATAAATGTAAGATATGAAATTAAAGATGAGCTACTTGATGGGTGTCAAAAAATTATTATAATGGATTAAGTTTTTTCTTCTATTTAAAAAATTTTATCTCTATAAATAGTTGAGTTAAAAAGTATTACAACCCATTGCTTGTCATTGTAAAAAAGTTGAATAAGAATAAGGTTTAAGTACCATTTTGGTCCCTCAACTCTTCACTTTGGTACCAAAATTATCCCTCACCTTTAAAAAGTACCAAATTTATCCTTAAACTTTCATTTTCGGTACCAAAATGGTCCTTCCGTCAGTTAAATGACAGGTGGCACGTTAATTTGCCAGCAAATCAATTATTTTTTTGTTTAATTAATGACATGG